CTGTGGTAGGGCCCCCGGCTCCCCCCCAGCCACTCCAGGTTACTACAACAGTGATTTCAGATTTTAGGCACAGTGACACCGTGGCTCGTGCCCAGAGCTCCCAACCTGTGCGATACCTGCCAGGGAAAATCCTCTCCCCTTTCGGCAGCCCCGAGCGTGGCGACGCGATGGGCGGCCCGGGGGAGCAGCCAATGTTCTCTGAGGCTGCCCAGGGGAGAAAACGGCTGTTGCACCAACCAGCCATCTTCAGAGTGCTGATTTCTGTCCAGGGCTGGTGCTTTCCAAGGGGTAATTTGCTTAGAAACAAAAGGAAGAAGATTCTGCGGGGAGAGCTGCGCTGTTCATTGCCTAAGGATACGAATGGCTCCATCAAGGTATCAGCAACAAATAAACACATCAGATTCCCCCAGAATTGTGGTGTAAGTCTCTGAGTTCTGTTGTTCCTCTCAGTTTCCAGGGCTCTGATGAGCAGCTCCCTGGGAGCTTTAATCACGGATGATTCACACCTACAGTTCTCCTTTACTCACGTTGCCCCACTCCCCTCCCAATTCCTTTTTCCCAGCAAAGCCCAAACCGGGAGGGCAGTGGGGGCCTGGGTGGCTGTGCCTGGTGCCCCCATGAGCTGCAGCCCCTGGACCATGGCACCTGTGCCTGTGTGGGGGATGCTGAGCCCCCCGCTGAGCACCAGCAGGCCCAGGAGCTGCACGAGGAGCTCACCAGCCTGTGCTGCTCAGTCAGAACCTGAACGGGCAGCAGAGGGAGGAAAACCACCCCTACCTAAATGGGCTGTGCTACCACGGGCTGGGTTCCCTTTCAATAGCTAACGGTTGTTAAGCTGTAGGGAAGAGGCAACAATGATTTAAGAGCGTGAGGAGAAGCTGTTACAAGGAGGGAAGTGTTGCTCTGGAAGCAGGGGGAGCGAGTGCTTGGCTGTGCAACCCCAGGAGCTCTCCCCTGCCAGGAGTCTGGCCGGTTACTCCTGCTCCCATCCTGCTCCACCACCGGGAGGAGGCGGCTGCTGCCTTCCTCCTGCGGTGCCCGGGTGGGGGGGGGTCCCAGCCAGCCCTGCCTCAGGAGGAGGAACGGGTCACCAGGCAGAGAGTGACGTTCTGCCACTGCCCCTGGGCTGGGCCAACACCTGGCACCTCTGGAGAGCGAGCTCAGGGGGCAGGGGATGCTCCTGGAGGTGAGGAACCGGCCTCCAGCTCCTGTGGCACAGGGACTGTCACCCAGCCCGACCTCGGGGGCTCCTGAGGAAGGAGGGGACCTGTCAGAAACTGCTCCTGGAAGACTTGAAGTATTTTTCTGTATTACTCCTTCCCTGTAACTCTGGGTAGAATGTTCTCCTTCTGACAGCATTGACGGTGCTGGGTTGGGTCAGTGGGGTTCAGAGGTGACCTCTCTCAGAAAGGAAGCTGAAGAATCCTCCTCCTCACCCACCAACACAGAATTGGAGCTAATAACAGACAGGACAAGTAACCCCGGACAGCTGTTACCCCAAAAAACAACCACCAACCAGAGGGGTGTGTGTGGCCACCGAGACTCCTCCAGCCTGGGGTGTTCACCTCCAAACACAGAGGTGCCCCATCAGCCCGAATTATGAAAGTCTGTAATTAATTACACAGTGAATGATGCAAACGACTTCCCAGCGCTCGCTGCTGCTTTAATTAGTGGCCACCAAGGGCGGGGGGAGGCCTTTTTGTGGCCTCTGGGGGGCTCAGACCTGACCCCAAAGAGCAGCTCTGGGCACGCTCCTGCTTTCACCACCTTTTATTAACAAGGGGCTGGTTCTCACTTCTGTCCAAGTACAGGAGCTCCTCTGTGCCACAGGCTTGCCCAGCACAGAGGGAAC